GCACCATCCTTTCCCCTTCCAAGAGATCCTTGAAATTTATTTAGCAGAGTCTGGAGTGTGAGGAGATAGGCTGGAGGGTGAATGCAGAGGCTGACTCATTGTATGACCTTGCTTAGACAATTCAGAGATAACCTTTCTCTTACATTGACTCCAGTTTCCACGTCAGTTTCTCTTTTTCTCCATTGTCCCAGATTCTGAACGTTTTTTTCTTTTTACAAAGAGAGGAAGGAGTTGGGGAGAAGGCATTTGGATCCTTTCAGTTCTAAGAGCTCAAGTTCCTTCACACTCACTGCTTTCTTTCTATTACATCACCCGACTCCAACCCCACCCACTAAGGCTCTTAGTCTAGAAGGACATTTCTTCCATCAGACCATAAGTTCCTTAGGCCAGGGACTGTCTGACTTGTTCAATATTCTCAGTAGTCTCAGTACCTGCTCCATGGTCAAAAACACTCTTGTGAATAAATAACATCCTCCTCCTCCCACCTCTCTAAGTCTCCTGAACTCCATCCCTGCTCTATTATTTCCAGTAGTAATTATCTTCTAACACATAATTGTTAGTAATCTTTATTGCTTTTCTCATCCTATTAGAAATGTAAGATCCAAAGGCAGAAATATATATGTATATTTTTCTCTTTTTTTGAGACAGTTTCATAGAGTGCCTCTGCTGCCTCATTATAGCTCACAGGAATTTCATATTCTTGCCTCAGCCTTCTGAGTAGCTGGGACTACAGGCATGTGCCACCATGTCCAGCTAGTTTTTCTATTTTCAAAAGAAACGGGTCTCAATCTTGCTCACGCTGGTCTCGAATTCCTGAGCTCCAGTGGTCCTCCCACCTTGGCCTCCTGTAGTACTAGACTCACTGGCATGAGCCACCGCGTCCACCCTACACGTATATTTTAAAGTGATGGGGTCTTGCCACGTTGCCCAGGCTGTAACCGAACTCTTCGGCTCCACACCCAGCTTCAAAGGCAAACATTTTTGTCTGTTCTGTTCACTGCCATATCCCCATCACTTGAAACAGTATCTGGCATACAGTAAGCAGTCAAGAATCCTGATCCCAACGGGGCTCTTAACCAAACAGCATAATGCCTGGGGGTGGGGGTGGGGGGCTGCTACAAAACTGACAACAGCGGCGCGACACTCCTCTGCTTTCTCCCAGCCCGGGATTTCTATGACCAGGACGCAAGTGGACACTTCTAAACAAATCGGGTTTAACTTCATTCATCTAACAGACCCTAAGAGAACTGAAGGGGAAAGAATTTGGTTCAAGGTCCCCAAACTAGCAGTGAGCAAAGATGAGAGAAACTTTGTATCTGGAAAGTTTCGAGGCACGAGGGCGCTAAGTGATCCCATGGTCCAACCTGCTGCTTGTAGAGGTGTGAAAACTGAGGCCGAGACCGGGACTCTCTTTACCTCGATAATCTTGATAAAGCGCGGGAACACCGGGTTGCGGGTGATGGCGATGAGCGGCAGGTGCGGGAACACATCGGGGATCGTCATGGGCGTGAGCGCCGTTATAACCGGACCTTCCCCGCCGCCCGCACTGGCCCCTGCTCCCCCGGTCCCTTCCTCCCCGCCACCCTCAGAGGCGTCTTCGCCCCCTGAGAATGCGCCACCGCCACGGTTGTTAGCCTCCCAAAACCCCCGCCACTGGCTTGCAGTCGCCGGGCCTCGGCCCCACAGCGCCCAAGGAGGAGAGGCGTCGCAGGTCCGCTGGCCTCTGGGCAACCATGCTTCAGCTGCAGTCGGGACCCGCCCCCAGGCGGCGGCCAGCATGGGCCGCCTGAGCGCCCAAGACCGCGCCGCGCCCCACAGCCGCACGTAGCCTGCGCCCGCCGCCATAGCTCGGCCATACTGGCGACACACGGAACGTGCGTCATTTCCGCTCGCCGATACGGCGCGCTCGGGAAGCCAAGAGCGTCCGCCTAAGGGGGTGCGGTCTAGGAGTAGCTGAAGGGATGGAATTCGAACTTCTTCCTGTTGACCTCCACCACTTCTTGCCTGCCAGCTAGAGCGCTAAAGTACCCTCGCGATCGTATGGGAGGTCTTGGGCACACGCCAGCGCCTCCAGAAAGAATTGATGTTGCAGTGAGCTTAGTTTTGTGGGACTCGTGAGCAGCCCTGCTCATATATTTGGCTGCGTGGATGACATGCGCCAGCTTAGGTCCTAGGGCTTGTAATGACTGGCGGGTTTGGGCTTCCTGGGAGCCACTGTTTGTGTGGCGAGACTTGAGCCCGCACGTGAGTGGCTGTGTGCGTATGTCAGGGCTCTGGGCACCTGTTGATGTGTGTGGATTTGGGCTGCCCGTTATTCGCCTGCGCACTCTGAAAGAGTTCAGCTAGTGTGAGTGGGGCTGCCTGGGTCTGCATAGGCCCAGGCTTAGTGACGCGTTTGCGTGCGTGCCCAGTCTCCAGTCTGCGCATGTGTGTACCGTGCAGTTGCGCCCCTCAGCGGTTGCCGGACAGTTGTGGCGACAGAAGTTGAAGCGAGATGTTGATGGTAGTGCTGGTGGCAGTGGCGACCATGCGGCTTTGTCCGCTGGTCAGAGCTCAGCCGCTCTGCCGGTGGGGCTGCCTTCCCGGTGCTGGGGTGCTGCCAGGGGCCGGGTGGGGCTGGTTCATATACATGCTAAGGCCGCCTCCCCAACCTCCTGGATCTTCTCACTTACCTTGGGAATCTATCTTGAGGCCTTTTCCTTCACCCAACCCCAACCTGTCTTAGCCCATCATCAAATCTCATTTCTATTTGAAAATCTTTGCCCTATCTCTAACCCTTCAGGCCACCTCCTTAACCTCTGCCCTAGGCTTTGCCGTCCTGTCCATTCACCCAGTAGCCAGAGGGATTATTTATCAAAGGAATCTCATCTCGTTGCTGAGACTCAGGATAAAACCCAAGTTCCTGGCACAGCCTGCACTCTGAGGAAAACGTCCAGGTTTTCTACAGAGCAGGGCTGCTGACATATGGGGCCAGGTAGTGGGGACTGGCCTGTGCCTTGTGCCACATTTAGCAATGTCTCGGGCCTCCACTCGTTAGATACCAATAGTGCCTTTCTACCAGGGCTGGACACATCACTTAAAAGTGCCATTAAGGGCTCTGCGCCAGTAGCTCAGTGGTTAGGGCGCCGGCCACATACACCGGGGCTGGTGTGTTCAAACCCAGCCTGGGCCGGCTAAACAACAATGAGAACTACAACAACAACAAAAAAACAAAGCCAGGTGTTGTGGCAGGCGCCTATAGTCCCAGCTACTTGGGAGGCTGAGGCAAAAGAATTGCTTAAACACTGAGAGTTTGAGGTTGCTGTGAGCTGTGACGCGACAGCACTCTACCAGGGGCGACGTAGTGAGACTATGTCTCAAAAGAAAAAAAAAAGTACCACTAGGCTTTCCCAGTTATTCCTTGAGGCTTGGAGAACTGCACCCCTGCCTCTTGATCTCTGTGTTGCAGCCAGGCCATCCGCGGTCCGCACTTGGTACTTGCTGTTTCTTCTGTCTGGCATTCCTGGACTGATTTCCTTCTCATTCAGATCCCGTCTCAAAATACCAAATTCCTCTATTTAAAGCTCCCTCCTCATCTTTCATTCCGCGTTCCCCACTGGTACTTTTTCCTACCACTAACTGTTATTTATTTTTTTGACAAATTGTTTCTTGTCTATTGCTGGTGTGTTAGTTCCAAGAGGACATAGTCTGTTTATTTTATTCACTCCTTATCCAGTGCATTTTAAAAATTCAGTAAATGTTAGGTTAGTGGAAGCTGTGTGCAAAGTGCCACAACTAGACAGTTGCTGACTCTAGTTCCTGCCCTCAGGGAACTCTTCTTGCCTGGAGTGAACTGTTAAGTTCTGCAGGGACCTGTTTGCCAGTGGGATAGTAAATGTGTTCTTACAGTGCATGGCCTCATTTGATCTGTACAGCAAGGATCCTGGGGGAGTGATTCATTATCCCTATTTTATAGATGTGAAAACAGACCCAGGTAAATTAAGATGTATTTCCCTAAGACACATAGCTAGGAGTGGATAGGAGGATTTTCCAGTAAGATTTACTAGTAGGAGTTGTCTCAGGGTTTGAAAAGGTAGGTTATATCCAATTTCCCATTTCCCCACACTGGTTCTTGATCAAAGAGCAATCCCTGTGGGGTGGCACATGTGGCTCAAAGGAGTAGGGTGCTGACCCCATATGCTGGAGGTGGTAGGTTCAAACCCGGCCTGGCCAAAAAAACCTGCAAAAAACAAAAACAAACAAACAAAAAAACAAAGAGCAATCTCTGGACTAACAGCATCCATCAGGCTTACCTGGCGAAGATTTGTTAGATTTGGTTAGAAATGAAGCTCCCTGGACCTACTGAATCAGAGACTTTGTAAATCATGGTTTATCAAGCCCACTAGTTGAATCTGATGCAGGCAAGATTGATAACCTCTGCCGTAAACAATATAATTACTCCAACTACCACACATCCTCTAAAAATAATCCAACCTACCCTGGAGCAGAGGTTCCTAATCTTCCTCAGCTGAAGTCCACTAATGAGCCTTTAGGAACTCTCGGGAATGGTATTTATGTTTTTTCATGTGCATATGTCTCTTTCTGGGAGAGAAGAGCCCACAGTTTCATTTGGTTTTCTAGGGAGTCTCCCCTCTCTACAAGTGTCAAAAATTCTTTTTTTTTTTTTTGAGACAGAGCCTCAAGCTGTCCCCCTGGGTAGAGTGCCGTGGCATTACAGCTCACAGCAACCTCCAGCTCCTGGACTCAAGCGAGTCTCCTGCCTCCGCCTCCCAAGTAGCTGGGACCACAGGCGCCCGCCACAACGCCCGGCTATTTTTTGGTTGCAGCCGTCATTGTTGTTTGGCGGGTCCGGGCTGGGGATTCGAACCCGCCACCTTAGGTGTACGTGGCTGGCGCCTTAGCCGGTTGAGCTATAGGCGCCGAGCCATGTCAAAAATTCTTAAGGAATGTTAACCCTGAGGCAACCAGGTAGGAGGAGTCATGCTAAATATTAAATAAAATTGACAGATGATCTCTTGTTGCTTACCTCTAGCACTCGCACAGTGAGGACAGGAAAAGTGTTTAATGTCATACAGAAAGTGGATGGGGTATGTGGCTCCATATTTAACATTTCCTTACATTCATCTGTGACTTTAGTTACTGAATCAGAACTAACATTTCCTAGGCTGTTTTTTCATTGTTTTGAGACAGAGTCTTGCTTCCTCATCGGGGCCAGAATGTCATGGCCTCAGCCCAGCTCACAGCAATCTAACCTGGGCTCAAGACCCCATCTCTACAAGAAATAGAAAAATTAGGCAGTTGTGGTAGTGCGTGCCTGTAGTCCCAACTGCTCAGGAGGCTGATGCAGGAGGGTCACTTGAATCCAGGAGTTTAGAGGTTGCTGTGAGCATTCCAGCCTGGGCAACAGAGCAAGACCCCGTCTCAAAAAAGAAATAAATAGAACATTATCTAATCCCTACAATTCATTGCCCTTTGCAGTACAGATTAATCATTCCCATTTTGCTAAAAACAGAGAGACCAAGTAATCTGAACAAAGCCAAGAGATACACTAGGTTTAGAGCTTAGATTGTCTGAAGTTTTGTCCAGTGATACGTCTACTTTTTCTGATAGGAGATTTTCAAATGTAGAGTAACAGAGGAAGCAAACCATATTGCTTTGTTTATCTAACATAGTGCTGCAGGAAACATTTTACCCAATCTGTGCCTAAAATGCATGAAGAAAAATGTATTATAGAAAACCCTAGCCCAACCCTAACCCAAATGCTAACCCCCTAAGCCAGTGGTTCTCAACCTTCCTAATGCCACGACCCTTTAATACAGTTCCTCATGTTATGGTGACCTCTAATCATAAAATTATTTTTGTTGCTACTTCATAACTGTAATTTTGCTACTGTTATGCATTGTAATATAAATATCTGATATGTAGGATGTATTGAGGTGACCCCTGTGAAAGGCTCGTTCGACTCCCAAAGGGGTCACGACCCACAGGTTGAGAACTGCTGCCCTAAGCTTAACCCTGAAACCCTAAACGTAACCCTCACCCTCACTCTAACCTTAACCCTAAACTCAAACTCTAACCCTAACCCTAATTTTAACATCTTAACTCTAGCTCTTTCCCTAGCCCTGAGCCTGACAACCTCCCCCCAAAGAAGAAAAGTTCTATCAGTTCAGATGTGTTTCCTATTCACAAAACTGCATATTTTCAAAAGTGGTATCAGCCACTAAATTTTCAAGTGACTTGTTTCTAACATATTAGCATTAAGATTCTTCATTCTTCGGCCTTTCTTTCCAATAGCTAGTCATCTGAAAATAAGCAATATGACATGTATAGGAATGATATAGGATATGAATAATTCACCCTGTGAATTTTGAAAACAGCTTATTTGGACGTAATTATAGATTCACAGTAAGTTGCAAGAATTGTCAAGGGAGGTCCCAAGTACCTTTTCCCTAGATTCTCCCAGTGGTCACATCTGATGTGACCATCATACAATATCAAAATAGGAAAATGTCATTGATATGATCCACCTACATAATTCAGATTTCATCCTTTAAATTTGTCTATTAGGAAGTTGTTTTATTGGCTGTTTATTGTTGGTGATATTCTTAAGATTTTGTGATTCTCTCTCTAGGATATCCTGCGTTCTTCATCCACAAGAATATACTTGATTAAACATCCTTGCAAGGAAAATATAGCTCTATACCTAGGGTAAGCAGCTGTTTTACTATCTTTTTTTTTTTTTTTTTTTTTTGCAGTTTTTTTTTTGGCCGGGGTCAGATTTGAACACACTACCTCCAGTATATGGGGCTGGCACACTACTCGTTTGAGCCACAAGTGCCACCCTGTTTTACTATTTAATGAAAACTTGAAGTTTGCCTTCATTTATTCATTTAGCAAATATTAAAGAAGATGGCTCAACCCTGCATTGCCAGTTACTGACCTGCAGGGAATCCACAGCCAGGGGCTATGGAAGACAGATCAAGAGATAGGCAAATAACTATTAATATTAACCACAGTGTTGTGGTACCCCCAGTCACAGATGTTTGATATAAGTGGGGTGCTTGAGGAGAAAATGCCTAGGAAGCTTCCCCTGGGGAGTTGATACTAAAATTGGATTTTGAAGTCTGAATAGGAATCTTCTGGGTCTTGAAGGATGAATAGGAGTTTGCTAGGGTGGAGGGCAGCCAAAAGTGTATAGGCACAGGTGTGATAGGCCATGCTTGTAGTCCTGGCTACCTGAGAGACTGAAGCAGGAAGATCACTTGAGCCCAGGAGTTTGAGGCTGCAGTGAGCTGTGATGATGCCACTGTACCATATCCAGAGTAATAAGAGCAAGACTCTGTCTCAAAGAAAAAAAAAAAGCCCATAAAACAAATATGATACAGCCTGAACAAAAGGGAGGGCCACACAGAGGAGGAGGCACATTTAATAGGATGTGTTAATACAACATGGTGTGGAGGATGAAAGTAAGTGGGCAGTTATAGGTAGCCCTGCAGTTTCTGGGTTGACTAAGTGTGAGGATTTGGTGGAAAATTATGGGGAGTGGCGGTGGTTCATGGTTTGGAGTTTGTGGAACATGGTCATGTCACAGTCATCCAGGTATCATGTGTTCAGTGACAAGAGGCTCAGTGAAACACTGATTCTATATAGTGGGTGGAAGAAGAGAAAGAGAAGTAGGAAACCAGAAGACTTAGAAGCCAAGGGAGGTTGAATATCAAGGAAGGGACTGTCAGTAGAGTCATGGTCACAGAGAAGTAGTGGTGGGTAAGCAGTCAGTAGGGCCGGCAGGCAGGAAGGCAGGTGGACAGACAAGGGAAAAAGTGAGGACACAAGAGATCCAGAGTTGGGGGCTCTGTCTGCAGAAGCTGATAGGAAGGGCCTGAACAAGGGGATGATCACAGAGATGAGGTTTGCAAGGACAAGACAGGGTTCAGGGGAGGCAATAGTTTCTCAAAAACCCAAACATAGATTGCCATATGATTCAGCAATTCCACTTCTGGATCTATGCCCCCCAAAATTTAAAGCAGAGACACAAGGAAATAGATACTTGTTTGCCCATGTTAACAGCAACATGATTCACGACAGCCAAAGGTGGAAATAACCCAAGTGTCCATCCATTGATGAAAGGGTAAACACTATGTGATCCATCTATGTCTGGCCAGAAAAAGGAAAAAAATTCTGACACAGGCTACAATGTGGATTAACCTTGAAGACTTGGCTCGGTGCCTGTGGCTCAAGCAGCTGGGGCACCAGCCACATACATCTAAGGTGGCGGGTTCGAGTCCCCAGCCTGGGCCCGCCAAACAACAATGATGGCTGCAACCAAAAGATGGCCAGGCGTTGTGGTGGGTGCCTGTGGTCCCAGCTACTTGGGAGGCTGAG